CCAAGGAGGCGTCCACCCAGTCTCCAAGCACAAGGGTCCTCTCTAGTCAGACAAGCCCTGAAATCAGAGCCATGGGACCTCACAAGAGTCAGCTCAGAGGGAGGTAAAAGAAATCATGCGGGCCGGGCATGGTGGCTCACGCCTGTAATCCCAGCACTTTGGGAGGCTGAGGCGGGCGGATCACGAGGTCAGGAGTTCGAGACCAGCCTGGCCAATGTGGTGAAACCCTGTCTCTACTGAAAATACAAAAATCAGCTGGGCGTGGTGGCACACGCCTGTAATCTCAGCTACTCGGGAGGCTGAGGCAGAAGAATTGCTTGAAACTGGAAGGCGCAGGCTGCACTGAGCCGAGATCGCACCACTGCACTACATCCTGGGCGACAGAGTGAGACTCCATCTCAGAAAGAAAGCAAGAAAGAAAACAAGTAAGCGGCCGGGCGCAGTGGCTCACGCCTGTAATCCTAGCACTTTGGGAGGCTGAGGCAGGTGGATCACAAGGTCAGGAGATCGAGACCATCCTGGCTAACACAGTGAACCCGTCTCTACTGAAAATACACAAAAAATTAGCCGGGTGTGGTGGTGGGCGCCTGTAGTCCCAGCCACTCGGGAGGCTGAGGCAGGAGAATGGTGCCAACCCGTCTCTACTGAAAATACACAAAAAATTAGCCGGGTGTGGTGGTGGGCGCCTGTAGTCCCAGCCACTCGGGAGGCTGAGGCAGGAGAATGGTGCCAACCCAGGAGGTGGAGCTTACAGTGAGCCGAGATCGCGCCACTGCACTCCAGCCTGGGAGACAGAGCAAGACTCCGTCTAAAAAAAAAAAAAAAAAGAAAAGAAAAGAAAACGAAGGGAGGAAGGGAGGGAGGGAGGAAGGAAGGAAGGAAGGAATCGCACCTAGGGCCCCATCCTGGCCCCTGGCCCTGGAGCTCACCCTTCAGGGCCACACGGTTCCGGCGGATGGCCATGATGGCATTGCGAATGTCCTCTTCATCAGCGTTGGAACTCACGTGCACCTCTTCAAAGTCCACTGGTACACATGCGTGCCTGAGGCAGAGCAGGGTCAGGGAGGCTGGCCCAGGCCCTCCCCGCATCTCCTCCAGGAAGCCTGCCCAGGCTACCACTCTCCTGTTGCTACCTGCCCTGACCTGGCTCTAACTGAGAAGGGACTGGGCCCACTTTCACCAACTGATGGGGACATGCTTGAACTCCACAATGCACACTGTGGCAGGACTGGTGCCACCTTCCCTAAGCCCAGGCCAGCCTGGCGGCATCACAGGCCATGCAACGCAAGGCCTGGGCTTACAGGTAGCCCTGCCATGGCCTCACCGAGTGCTTCTGGGCGCAATGCCCCTCTTGGCACAAAGTCCTCAGGGCCCCCTGGCTGAGGACAAGGCAGGGACCCAGAAGCTCCATACCTGAAGACGGACTTGACATGCAGCATGAGCTCCGGCCCAATGCCATCCCCTGGGATCATGGTCACTGTGTGCCGCCCGCCATACTTAGCCGACGGAGGCTGTGGGAGGCAGAGGGTGAAGGTGGGCCTTCCGGGATCCCACATGCCTCCAGCTCGGCCCCCATGGGCTCCAGCCAGTTCCCTTCTTCCCACTGGCGCTGACCCCACAGGCCACCCCGTCACAAGGTGCCAACTTGGGGCAGCCCCGTCCCAGACAGGGCTGCTCATCCAGGGCTCCTGGGTCAGCAGCAGCCCACCCCCACCTGAAATTTAGTCAACCCCAAAGCAACTAAGAGCCCCCTAAACCTAACAGGCAAAGAAGAATACTCACAATTGTTTGTTGCTAGAAAGGAGGAGAAAGGAAGAAGACATAATCAGCCAAGGTTCCAAGAGCAAAGCTGTGACCAGGAAAGTGGGGCCTTTTCCCGGGGGGGATGCTGGCCAGTACAACTCCCAGAAGAGGGGTGGGTAACCCGTGGAGACCGCGTCTCAGAGGACAGGACGCAGGCCGTGCGCACACGCGTACAACTGCGGCCACATGGAGACAGACACATGCATGGGCACGGGCAGGTACTTACTGAAGAGATGCTCCTCGAGGGGACCTCGTGGGCGCCTAGAACCTGGCAGAGAGACCAAACGCCAGAGGTTGGTTTGATGTCCAGCCCAGAAAGCCAAGTTAGAAGGAAAAACGGACCGTCCCCACTGTGCCCTGGCAGGTCCCCTGTCTGTGCAGCATGGCCCACTGCCAGCGGCACAACAGACAATTAGCTCCGAAGCCTCTGTCCCCAGGGCCGACCCGCTGGAGCACCCGGAAAGCAGAAGGCACTCCAGCCTCCTGCCTCCTTCGGCTCTTCGGCAAATTTCTTTTTTTTTTTTTTTGAGACGGAGTCTCGCTCTGTCGCCCAGGCTGGAGTGCAGTGGCGCAATCTCGGCTCACTGCAAGCTCCGCCTCCCGGGTTCACGCCATTCTCCTGCCTCAGCCTCCCGAGTAGCTGGGACTACAGGCGCCCGCCACCGCGCCCGGCTAATTTTTTCTATTTTTAGTAGAGACGGGGTTTCACCATGGTCTCGATCTCCTGACTTTGTGATCCGCCCGCCTCGGCCTCCCAAAGTGCTGGGATTACAGGCATGAGCCACCGCGCCTGGCAGGAAAATTTCTTAAAAGGCATGTCCCTGCCCTCCCTCCTCTTTTTTGCTTCTGATTATTTTCTTGGCCAGTTATTCCTGCTCAGCGATGTTTGTAACATGCGAAAATTGGCAAACTAACCCTGGTACAGCAGAGAAATCATCACAAAAAAGTACAGATCCATGACAACAGTCATGTTATCACTTCGCTGAGCACTTTTCCTTATTACAAAAGCAGTATGTGGTTGCTACAGAAAACGCAGAATAGGAAGATAAGAAGGTAGTACTCAGCCTCCAGCCTCCCTGAGACAAGTACTGTTGGCCACCTGGGGAGTGGCCCTTCGGCGTTAGAAATTGAAAACAAATGTGTAGGGACATCCAGCCATTTCCGGAAGGTTGATAACAGAAACTCAACTCTAGGAAGGCCTTCGGAAAAGACGGCTGGATGCCAAATGTCCCCAACGCCCTGCCTGGAAATGCCAAACAGCTTCAGAGCCAAAGCTGCCTAAGCCAAATGTGCCAGGTGCCAAGTGACCTGCTGTCCTGGAAGAAGCCCCACCTAGGAACACACCTGAGATGGTGGCAGAGCCAAGGTCTTCCCTGCCACTTGGGGATGTCCTGCCACTTGACCACCAGACAGGAGCAAACTGTTCCAGCCAATGGCAGAAGCATCACAGCCATTGGCCAAAGAGCCATGCCTTCCTGCTAGAAGTCCAGAAGGCTCGGGTGGAGTCTAACCTCTCCCTGTGTGTGTGTATCTGGCCGGCATTCGCAAGGGGCCCACTTGCCCAAGCGCTGGCAGTGCAGATGTACCACTCATCAGTCCAAGCCAGGGGCTAGGAGAGTGTGACCACAAGGACCAGAGCCCTGAGTGGAGCTCAGCTGATCTGTGTGGCACCTGGATCTGCAACCACAGGCACAGTCGGGACTTTTCTGTCTTCTCTCTAGCGCTTGTCAGCATCTGAAATCATCTTATTTGGGGGCTCTTGTAAGCACGCAGAAGGTGGCTTCGATGGACCTTCCTCCAGGGAGCTCTCCCTGATGCCCTAAGGCTACTGAGCTGGGATCCTAAGGCCCTACTTACCCCCTTCCCTAGGTTGTCACTGCATTGCTCCCTCCTCAACCCCTGAGCCCGAGAGGAGGGGCCAAGTCAGTCTGGTCCAATACTGTCACCCTAGGACCCAGCACAGTACCTGGCCCAGAACTAGGACATAAGGAACATTTCCTGAGTGAACAAGCACATCAGAAAATGAAGAAAGAACTGGAGACTAGGGAGGCCTCGGTCCAAATCCACCATCCACTCCTCTCGAGATGGCTTCACGGCCTCATTTGAAATTCACAGAATGGAGGTACCTACTTTCCGTGGCTGCTGGAAAGATTAGGCGAGAGGAGGTGTGTGAGTTGCTCACAGTAGCTAGTGCTACATAGCACACCTGCCCTTTACCCCACTGGCACCTCAGGTCAGAGTTCAAGGCTGGTGTCCCTGGGGGGTCACCGGTGGACCCCTGCAGCTCCCAGCAGTAGTTCCTCCTGGGCTTCAGCTGTGGCAGCGAGCCAATCTCCTGAGGGCATGGACCTCCCTCACAGATGGCAACATCACCACCAGGGCTGAACCTCTCCGCCACCCGGTCCCTGTGCCAGGTGTTCCTTTGGACTTTGGCAAAAGACCCAGAGAGCACTCCAGATGGACTTCCCTGACCGTACTGTACAGATGCAGGCGCCGCCTTGTGCCCCAACTGCCCTGTGAAGCCACCAATCAAAGGAGCCAGGTGTGAGGCAGGATGCAATACGCACACGCCTCCCGCTCTCCCATCACCCTTTCATAGTTCCACAGAAAGAAAGAACATCCACACCCCACATCTGATGCCTGCTGAGGCTTCTCTCTTTGACACATTTCTGTCGGACCATGTGCCAATGGTGGCTGTATGTTCTCCCATGGCGTCCAAATCAGTGGGATCCAAGACTTGGGATTCCTCTGTAAGGGTTCCCATACCCAGGACAATCAGTCTCAGGGCAAGGCACTGCCCAGCTACCCACCGTTCACTGTCCCCTACTCCCACCCCAACGCACACACAAGCACACACACAGGGGAGGTCAAGGAGGAGGCACATGTCTTCACCGAGAGCCTACAGGAGCCCAGTTGCTAGAGCCATCAGAGCCTCTGGAAAGCCACTATATGCTGCCGTCCTTTCAGCAGCAAGGTAGGAGAAGTCGGCATTGTCAAGAGAATTTCATTAGGCACAAGCATCTCCCCCAGAGGCCAGAAGGAGAAAACACAGCAAGTAGAGGTGTCCCTGGTGAGTGGCAACAAAATCACGGAGTTCTGGAAGGTCAGAGTTGACAGGATCCTTTGAAAACATGAAGTCTCCCCTCTGGGTTCCAAAGGGGAAACTGTAACCCAGAGAGAGGAGAAACTGGCCTAAGGCCACGCACTGGGTCAGTGGGGGAGCATGGCCTAGAGGCCAAACCTCTTACCCATCAGGGCCAGGTGCTGGCTCACAGCTGCTTCAGATGGTTTCCAGCCCACCTAGGACCTAAATTAACCTCTTCTTAAATAAGCGTAAGGAAAAAGGACTCAGACCTGAATACGCAAGACCGCAGACCAAGAAGAGCAAAAGCAAAACCCCCGCAGCCTGAGAAACCCTAGCTCCTTCCCATTCCAGGCGCCTCGGGTGGAAGGCATCTGGGGCTCTAAGACTGTGAGAGGATGGGGTATGACTGGCAAAGTCCGGTTCTTTGCCACCGGGACAAGTGGTAAAGCGGTCAACGAGACGGGAACCCATGGAGAAATTTGAGTCCCGGAACCGGATTCCCGAAGCGGTTTGAGAAAGGCGGGCCGGGATACGTGAGTGACTGCGTCAGAAGGGCTCTTTCAAGGACAGTAAGGAGGTGACAGCCGCCGTGGCCCACTCTCCCGGCCCGTCCGGAACCCCCCCGCCACCCGATGCAGACGCCCTGGGGGAGCCGGCCCAGGGCCAACTTCGGCCAATCCCCTCAGTGACAGCGGAGGCGGCCAATCAACCCCGGCGCGCAGCCCTCTCCTAGCCAATCGGACTCCAGACTGCTTCGGGAGCGGCTACCCCACCGCTCCCCTGCGAGCGCTGCCGCGGCCCCGTGGCCCTTTCCCTGCTCACCTCCCAGGGACGGCAGAGAAGGGCTGGCCTGAGCACTGCCTTCGCAGCGCCGCCGGCGACCGTCGCTACCTTCAGCGCCATGACGGAAAGTGAGAGCCTCCGCACGTCCCGTCACGCAGACACCGCTCTCGCGAGAGTTCGACGGGGTGCGAAGTTTCGGGGACCGGCGCGGGCCCGGTACTGCGCACGCGCGCGGTCTCACCGATTCCCACGCCCCCTTCCGGCGCCTAGAGCGCCGCTGCCGCCATGTTGAGGGGGGATCGCGACCAGCTGGGCCCCTGTCTCGGGGAGGGGCCACGTCAGTGCTGCCAGAGACGTCACAATGCCGGCCCGGCCCTTCGGTGCACGATTGGCTGCCGCTGTCACTTACGCGTCGCTCTTCCTCGTTTGCCCCTCGTGTTCATGGGAGCTCGTTTTCTTTTCCTCTAGGCAGAGAAGAGGCGATGGCGGCGATGGCATATCTCGGCGCCCTGGCGCTGCTCCTGCTGTCCAGCCTCTCCCGCTGCTCAGGTAGCGGCCCAGTCGGGGCTTCTTTCTGGCGAGCCTCTGACCCACCCCACGTGGTGTTGAGGGGAGGAGGGATGCGGGGGTCTGGCCTTTCGGGGTCCGTCGCTGAGAGCCGGGCCTTCCTCCGAGAGGCAGGCGGCCTTGGGACTCGGGGACCAAAGCACCTCGGGCACGTTTACTGGCCGCCAGGCTTTTCCTTGTCTGCCCATACGAAGAGGAGTCCCGGAGCCTCCACCGTGCGCCCGGCCCCCAGCTCCAGCACGGAACGTGACACATGTCCCCGCTCCCGCTCCCTGCGGGGTCGGACCAGAACAAAGCTCTGTAGTGCTGAGCGATCGCGGTCAAAAACGGGGCTGGAGGAGCCACATAAGCTAGGAAGGGACCTCAGTGAGGAGAGAGAGCAAGAACGGGGCGAGTTAGATGGGGAGCCAAAGGTGCGCAGGACCTTGAGTGCCAGGCCGAAGACTGGCCTTTCCGGAGGGCCCTGCCTTACCCTTACCAGAGTTTTCGGCGGAGCCTACCAGGGGTCCCGTCGATTTGCGTTCATGAGGGTCTGAGGCTCCAGAGTGTGTTTAGGAGGTGGCTGCAGCAGCCAGTCCCGGGCCCGGGGGCCAGGACTGGACAGGGCTGGCTTTCTGCACATTCCCTTTTCTGCCGTCCTTCAGGCCAGTAGCCTTGCTGCCTGCAACGTTTTGCCAGCTTAACTGGCCTCCCTGCCCGCACCCTCTTGTCTGCCCCTCAGGAATTCCCTGAGTTATAGCCAGGGACTTATCCAGAGGACAAACCTGGCCATAAAACCCTTTCGGGGGCTCCCCTGCGCCACAGGAAGCAGGCCCAACTTAGGCAGGACACAGAAGGGCTGGTAGGATCTGGCCCCTGAGAACGGCCTCCATGCTGTTCTAGGGATCTGCCCCCTCTGGTCCAGACCCAGAGCCTTCTCTGACGTCCTGTGCTGAAGCCGTCATTCTGCCGGAGCATCACATTTGGACAGCTGGTGACTGAGAACGTTCCCATTTTGGGGAGCCTTTGTTTCACACCCTCTGATGTAGGCGGCAGCCTGTCTTTCCTGTGGGCCTCTGTGGTTATGGAGAAGGCTAAGGCAGAGTCCTTTCTCTCACAGCTAACAAGTTGTGCTTCTGGAACCAGAGCCTCTCCCGATTACTTCCTCAGGAAACGCTGGGGCCAGTCTTGGCCTTCTGTCAACTGGCCGGGGGCAGAGACCCTTTCTCATCTTGAAAGCCCCAGTGCATTGCCTGCCTGCAGCCCCTACCCCCGGTGTCTCTGCTGAGGATGCCTTCAGTAACTCGTCCAGGCCGTTTGTGGTTCTGAATTGAGGCTGGCCTGGCCCCCTGGCCTCCGTGTCATAGGTCCAAGCGTTGGCATGTATTGTCCAGTGAATCCAGCGCCCACATGTCCCCAGCACACACGTTCGCTCTTCCTGCACACCTCCAGAAAGCCGGCCTTGCCCCTCTCCAGTCTGCTTTCACAGCCATCCCACCTACCTTGCCACTGCATTTGTGACCGAGCACTTGGATCTGTCTGGATCCCACCTGGAAGGGACAGGAGGATCCCGTGCGTCCCCAGCTGATCCGTGCTGTGAGGCAGGGCCCGGCCATCCTGCCCTCAGACTGGGATACTCGAGCTGGCCTTACCCAAGCATCTCTCCCTCTTCCCTGCAGCTGAGGCCTGCCTGGAGCCCCAGATCACCCCTTCCTACTACACCACTTCTGACGCTGTCATTTCCACCGAGACTGTCTTTATTGTGGAGATCTCCCTGACATGCAAGAACAGGGTCCAGGTGAGACAGTGGAGTTTCAGACAGGAGGGCGGGTGGGGGTGCTCCTCACTGCCAGTTGATGGAGGACCCGTGTCAACAGAGATTCCAACTCTTGGGGTGCTGGAGAGATCAGGGCACGGCGATGCCAGATCCTAGCCAGTGTTGACAGGTCACCTTCCTCACCTGCTTTGTGTGCTGTGCCTACACGAGGTAACACTGGGCTCACAACCTGTGTCCCGAATGAGTATCTGAACCGGGAGAAAGGGCAGCCCACCCTCGTTGCCATTGGCCACTTTGTCTGTGTGGGTGTTTTGTCTTTGTTTTTGTTTTTTGTTTGTTTTGAGACAGGGTCTCACTCTGTTGCCCCGGCTGGAGTGCATTGGCACGATCTTGGCTCATTGCAGCCTCCGCCTCCCAGGTTCAAGAGATTCTCCCCTCAGTCTCCCGAGTAGCTGGGATGACAGGTGCTTACCACCATGCCCAGCTAAGTTTTGTATTTTTTGGTGGAGACAGGATTTCGGGTGTTTTAACTTCAAGATTGAGGAGCCTTGGCCTTGGCCCCTGACCTACGTTCCCAAAAGTCCAAAGAAGGAAATGGGGCCTTTTTTTTGGGTATGGCCCTCTTAGGGTAAAGCACCCCTTGGGCAGCCCACTGGGCATCCCGGACCCCAGCACCTCCCTTGTAGACTCAGGAAAATCACTCAGCCCTTTTGATCATCCCGCCCCTGCTCACAGTCAACAGGGTTCCTATGCGTCCAGTTAGGTCCGACCATGGGGATCTAGCCCTGTGCCTCCGTAGGGAAGACCGATGCAGAGGGCCAGTCACAGGATTGGTGAGTGTTACCTGGAACCTCCTGCCAGGGACACTGCAGCCCCCAACTGGGCCTAGCCTACCCATCTGCAGGCCGTGTGAGCAGCACACAGGGTTCCTCTGCCCACACCCAGAGAGGGCAGAAGGTGACCCTGCCTTTGTCTCCTCACCCAGAACATGGCTCTGTATGCTGACGTCGGTGGAAAACAATTCCCTGTCACCCGAGGCCAGGACGTGGGGCGTTACCAGGTGAGGGGCCAAGGGTTCCCTTGCTAGGGGGCTTCCTGCTCCCGGGTGTGACCTGAAGCCCCAGGGGTGGCCAGTCAACCAGGGCCAGGGGCTGTGGGCTCTGGCTGCTGGAGTGCTGCGGTGTGGGCACTGGTGGGCAGGGTGGCCCTTCCATGTCCACTCTGCCCACACCCTGCTCAACACACCCAACCCAGGTGTCCTGGAGCCTGGACCACAAGAGCGCCCACGCAGGCACCTATGAAGTCAGATTCTTCGACGAGGAGTCCTACAGCCTCCTCAGGAAGGTGAGGGCTCCCGCAGCCCACTGGGCTCCCCTGTCCCTGGGGAGCAGGATGGGCCGGGTTGGGAGGCACTGGCAGTGAGTCCTGAGCTGGGTGGCCTTTCTGTAATCCTGTCCCCTTCTACTGAGAAGGGTCTCTCGCCCATTTCTCTCCTTTCCTTTTCTGGGGCTCTGGCCAGCGTTCCTATCTCTTTCCCCTCCCCTTCCCACCCCCACACGCTGGGCAGCCCTGACCCTGACACCTCCCTTGCAGGCTCAGAGGAATAACGAGGACATTTCCATCATCCCGCCGCTGTTCACAGTCAGCGTGGACCATCGGGTGAGCGGCCTGGTCCGTCCTCCTTGTTGGGGTGGTTGGGCTGAGTGAAGGTTCTCATCCTCTCCACAGCCCCAGCTCCGCTGCTGGGCCGTGATTGGCCAGCGTGTCTTGGTTCCCCTGGTGGAGGGTGACCAGCGCTGGCTGGTCTGCTTGCCTATACCCACCTGAGCTGGCTTGTGATCTCCTTTCTTTCAGGGCACTTGGAACGGGCCCTGGGTGTCCACTGAGGTGCTGGCTGCGGCGATTGGTCTTGTGATCTACTACCTGGCCTTCAGCGCAAAGAGCCACATCCAGGCCTGAGGGCGGCACCCCAGCCCTGCCCTTGCTTCCTTCAATAAACATCACAGGACCTGAGGCTGTTGGCTTGCGTTATTGTGCCTTCCCCTGACCGGGAGAGCTGGGGGCCCAGCGTCCCCTTGTCTGCCTGGCCAGCAGAGGCACCAGGCGGGAAAGGGGCAGGCTTTGGTCCAGAACTCCCTTCCCTCCTCCCAGTGAAGCCTTCTGTCTGGTCCCCACAGAACCCTGTGTCCACCTTCCCATGTCTCTCTCCTGGTTCTGGTGAGGGCAGTGGGCTTGGCCACCTCATCCCCAAGTGGCCCCACAGGCTCCATGGGGAGACAGCCAGCCTGGTCTCCATCACGGCTCCTGTGTTGGAAGCCCCGGGCCCAATCTGCACACAGAGGGGTTTCCCTGCACTGCTCTCAGGCACAGCAAGTTCCCCCACCCTGCCCATGCGGTGTGCAACTGTCTGGGCTCAGCCCCTCCACACTCCACACCCTGACCACACCACCTTGCTTCCAGTGTGCTGTGCCTTCATGGGATATTGGGAAAATACACACCCATGGCCAGGTGTGGTGGCACATACTGTAATCCCCACACTTTGTGAGGCTGAGGTGGGAGGATCACCTGATGTCAGGAGTCTGAGACCAACCTGGGCAACATGGCGAGACCCTGTCTCTACAGAAAAATTAGCTGCGTGTGGTGGCATGTGCCTGTAGTGCCAGCTACTCGACCTGGAGAGGTCAAGGATGCAGTGAGCCATGATCGCACCACTGTGCTCCAGCCCAGGTGACAGAATGAGACCTTGTCTCAACAAAACAACAAAAAACCCCACCTGTGAGGGGCACATCAGCTTCCTCCTAGAGACCCCTCTCCCAAGAGCACCCGTGCCCTCAGGATACCAGGCAGGCATCCCGGCCTGACACCACACCTGCAGTTCATCCTGCATCTCTCCCATCAGCCTGTTTTTCAGCTTGGCACATGCTGGCTCCTGACTAGCTAATGGCATTCCTTAGTGGCACTGAGGGCCCGTGAGGCAGTGAGGGTCTTGGGGACCAAAGGGACTGGGTGCAAATCCCAGGTGAGCCCTTCCCAGCTATGGGACCCAAGTCAGTTTGCTCAGCTGCAAGGCAGTGACAGTGCCTACTCCAAGGTGTCACGGAGTCCACTGGTATCAGCCACCAAACTCCTGATGTCTGGGTCACCCATTGGCTGTTACTGGAGAGAAATGGAAATCTCCAGAGAGGCTGTTTTTGTTTTTCTTTTTTTTTTTTTTTTTTTTGAGACAGAGTTTTGCTCTTGCTGCCCAGACTGGAGTGCAGTGGCGCAATCTCAGCTCACTGCAACCTCCACCTCCCGGGTTCAAGTGATTCTCCTGCCCCAGCCTCCCGAGTAGCTGGGAGTACAGGCGCCGCCACCAAGCCCGGCTAATGTTTTGTATTATTGGTAGAGATGGGGTTTCACCATGTTGGCCAGGCTGGTCTCGAACTCCTGGCCTCAGGTGATCCATCTGGGGTTACAGTCATGAGCCACCGTGCCCAGCCAAGGCTGCTCTGGAAAAGGAGGGAAGGCCCAAAACCTGCCTGGGAGGTAGGGGCTCCTCAGTACTTCAGCTCAGTTGCCAGAGAGAGCGGCACTGTGAGGGGCCGGGGGTGTCAGGAGCAGATGTAGGCTGCCTGTGACCTGGGTCTGTCTGCCAAGCAGAGTCTCGGGTAGGGGGGTCATCTGTACAAGCAGGGAACCCTCTTCCCACCCCCAGGCCTTGGGAAGGGGGTTGGGTGGGGCCAGCTGCCAAGAATGGGCAGGCTCCTAGGAAGAGCTGGGCGCTCACCCCAGGACAATGCAGCAGGAGCGCTGGGGCTGAGGGACCACACCAACTTTGCCAGCAGATGCAGTTTCCAGATTCCAGAGGAGACCCAGCAGCCTGTGCAGGGCAGGTGGCTGGGGCAGGCCGGGTGCGGCAGGCACCGGCGCGGCTGTTGGGCACCCAGTTGCTCTTTTTAGTTTTGGCTCTGCCACGAAGCCTGATGGCAGTGGGACCCGGACGTGAAGTTGCTATTCCAGGGCATCGGTAGCCAAGTGCTGCCAGCCTTTCTGGCGCCACCTCTCCCTGAACCAGCCAAGGGACTCCAGCCTCCAGGCCCATCTGGGCCCACATCCCATGAACACTGGAGGGCGCCCCACTAGAGGAAGAAGGAAGATGCCTTTAGGACCATCCAAGTGAGGCCCCCAGCAGCTAGAGGGAGGCCAAGGGAACAGTTTGACCTCCATCTCCAATCAACTCCGGCCAGTGCTCTGTGGCAAGGGGCTGGGCCCTTGGAGCCTTATTCCCCCGAGGGGCAGGGTTAGGGAGTTGGTCAAGGGTTGGATGTGCCAAGCCCTCATGGGGGTGAGGCCCTGAGGGGTGGGGGAAGCCATTATCTCTAGCCCCTGCCCTCTGCTCCCCTTTCTGCCACCTAGCCAGCAAGCCTCTTCCCCTCTTCCCTGCTGGTGGGGTGTGATATGCCAGGCCTTCCCTCCCGGCGCTGCTATGCAGCAGAGAGGCAGCCGGCACCCTTGTGATCCAGCCTTCCCTGCAGCGGGACTCCAGGCTTCTGGGAACAGGCACTGGGACTTTTCCTTCACAACCTTCTTAGCATCTAATCTGTCACTGACTTGCTGCCCAGATCTCAGTACTTAGAAAAGTTTAAACGAAAAAAAATTTTTTCTGAGCCAGGGGTCTCACTCTGTCGCCCAGGCTGGAGTGCAGTGGCACGATCTCGGCTCACTGCAGCCTGCACCTCTCGGGTTCAAGCGATTCTCCTGCCTCGGCCTCCTGAGTAGCTGGGATTACAGGCACCTGCCACCATGCCCGGCTAATTTTTGTATTTTTAGTAGAGACAGGGTTTCTCCATGTTGGCCAGGCTGGTCTTGAACGCCTGACCTCATGTGATCCACCCACCTTGGCCTCTCAAAGTGCTGGGATTACAGGCGTGAGCCACCGCAACTGGCCTATATTGTCTTCTTTCTGGAGAATCTGAATGCCTCCTTGACCACTTCCGCTCCTTCACAGCAGCACTGCCCACTTCAGGGGGTACCACTCTCATGGCAGGCTGTGCCCATGTTGTCTGCGGAGTTGTCTTTGAGGCCCTGACCCTGCCCAGCATTGAGCTCCTGGCACTTGACAGAGCCCGAAGGTTTGCTGAGAGCTCCCAGGATGGAAGGGCCCTGGCAACAACGTGGGTATTCATCTATCTGGCCAAGACATCCACTGAGTGCCTTCTGCAAACTGAGCACCTTGCTAGGCACTGTGGGATCACCAAATGGAAGGGCAGCTTCCGCCTTCCAGAGTGGATGGCACCAGGCCCTGCTGGGCAGGATAGGACTGGAACCCACTTCTCTGTGGCATGTGCCAGCAGTGGGCCCCACCTACGGTTTGGTCCATGGAGATGACCATAGCCCTTGCCTGGAGGCTAGTCTGAAGTCAGGCTTCTGCCAGCCTTCTGCATCTGGTCACCACCCTGTGACTGTGACACCTCTGAAATGACTCAGGTGACTGGTATATCTCCTCCTGGGGTGCCACACAATTGCCCATGGGAGATCACAGTCACTGCTCCTGACATCCGAGACAAACCGAGGGCTGCAGCATGGCTTTCAGTTGACTCTAACCCTGCTCCCTCTTCCTTCTCCCACCCCAAACTGACAACTCTTTCCCCAGCCCAGTAAGAATGAACACAGGGAGGCCACGATTCAACCAAGTACAAAGGCAGCTTGCTTTATTCTCAAAATGCAGGGGGAAGGGGTGGTGCAGCCTGTCTGCCTCCAATCTGGGGCTCTCCAAGCCTGAGGGGCACCCCCAGGCAGCCTAGTTCACACGTGCAAATCCTGAGGAGGCTGGGGGCCTCTCCTTCCCAGTCAGCCCACCACCTCACTGGGGTCCAGGTTGCGGATCGCCACCAAGTCCTCTCCAGGCCGCATGGCCCAAGGTCTTCCACTGCTGCTCACGGGGCTTGGCTTCTAGACCCCTTCTAAGCAACTTCTTCAGTTCATTCAGAAGAGAAGCCCCTGCTCCAGATGGTGTGGGGCGCAGAACGGGCTCTGTGACTTCTTGGTGGACACCCTGCAAGACCCCTCCGTTCCTGCAGTCTTGCTCTCTCTCTCAGTCACTGGGGAAACAGGTGCCCCCAAAAGCTCCCCGTTCCCACACCTCAGAGTGGAAGCCACCAGAACAGCTGCTTCCCATTCCTCCCACCTTTCCCTCCCCTTCCCTCCCATCCATCCCCAGCCCTCCCTCCCGATCTTCCTCCCCAACTCCCTTCCCAGCCATCAGTGGAGGGGGAGTTCCACCTCTGCCAGGCTGCCTGAAGGAGCTGCCAGCCCCCAGGTCAGGTCCACAAAACAAAACAACTATTGGCAAGCACAGAAAGGGAGAAAAACCACAAAAATCGGGGTGCCTTTGTCTACAAATAACTGCAGCGGGGAGAGGCCGAGCTCAGCAGCGAAGCCGGACACTCTCTTGTGCTCCTTTCAGCTCAACTTCCCTGTCTGCAAGTACATGGGTCGGGTGGAGAGATCACTGGGTGTGTGTGTGCGTGCACGTGCAAGCACACGCAAGAGCATGGGGAATGGGAAATGCACACGCACAGCCGAAGGGGTGCCCATTACAGGTGTGCCCCCAATACTGGCCACTAGCGTGGTCACTTGACTTGGGCAGAAAGAAGAAAAGCGTCCCTTCTCCTCAGGGGCTTCTCTCTGCTAACAAAGCCCTGTGCGCACACCTAGACGGGGAGGTGTGTGCATGCGCACAGCGAGCACGCGCGCACACACACACACAATCTCTATAGGAGAGTGAGGGCCGGGGCCCCAGGGGGCTCCTTGGGCCTGGGCCGTGCACCCGCCCCGGCAGCTCACACAGTAGTGACCGAGAGGAGAGGGTTGTAGACCCGCTTGCCATCAGCCGAGCGTGCGCCATGAGCCAGCATCTCCTGGATGGTGATCCAGTTGTCCAGGATCTTCTTGTTCCGCTTCTTCATGGTTTTGCGGTGGCTCAGGGCAATGATGTTGAGCTCGGGCTTGCTGTCGCCATTCTGCTGCTCCCGCA